AAAAAAAAAAAAAAAAAGAAATGAGGAAGTGAGGCATGCAGTTAACGGAATCTCCGTCACATAAATACTAAAGTTTGCCTTTTCTCATGTCTTTTCCTTTCAAAGTAAACCAGACGATATGAAGATCGTGGAGCACTGTTCAAATATCACAGCATCATTTTGCGACCTAACCGATGTGTGGGAAGTCCTGCCAGAGACATACATCCCCAGAGTTGATGGATTCAGGGGAAACACCATGCTGGTCAGCTGTATCAGCGATTTCTTCCTGGCAACACACGGTGAGTTCATCTCTGCTTATCATTTTCATCATCATCATCAAGATCATCGTTATTTGCTTTCCTGTGACATAGGCAGGTCTGCAGAGGTGTCTGAAACTCAGGGCTATGTTTACCAGCTGGCCTTGCCCCTTCACGGCTCTGGACCTGTGAAGTGTTTGCTTCTCGGAGCCTTGGTTTTCTTATCCAAAAAGTGGGACGATAATCTGTCCTTTGCCGGCGATTCCTCACTGCCTGTCTAAGGCAGGCGTTCCGGCAGCAATGGTTGGTTTGTTACGGTTCATTTCCTGTCACAACCTGACAGGAAGTAGGTCGGGAGGTCCAGAAAGCCTGTATCTGAGCTGTCCCAACTCTTTGGGCCAAAGTTTTCCTTAATACGGTACCCCCTCCCCCAGATCATAAGCTAATAGTTCTTATCTATGTTAGTTCCCAAAACACATGTGCACCCGGGGCACTCGGAGACCGGAGCCCGAGAGTGGGTCTGCCTGTCTTTCTTTCCCTATGACTGGAGGCAGCTCCCTGTGGCACTTGTGTTAAACAGCTCCAGGGTGGCTGCTGGTGGCCCTCGGCCAGACTCTAGCTCTTCTTCGAGGTCCTCATTTGCAACCTGTTTCCAAGAGAAAGATTTGGTTTCAGTTCCCTGTTAAAGGCTGTGTGGATGTGCGTTCACACATTCGTGCTTAGCAAAGTGACAATAACCGAATCCCACTGTCGCAGACAAGATTCCCTGGGTTTGTGTGTGTGTGTGTATGTTTATGTGTGCGTCCAGAAAAGAAAAGAAAGAAAAGCACAACTTATAGATCGTGGCGCTCAGACAATTACAGAAAGTACATTACAGTAAGGATGAGACGTCATTTGTCAAGACTCAAAATGGTAAATGTCAAACACATGTAAGTACCCAGGCTTAGGGGAAATGCGGAGAGTGTACTTTGAACATCTGAAAATCTGCAGCAGGATGTATTCAAATCTTGCCGTGTCCTTGCTCTCATCCAGAATTCCTCTTTAATGGTTTGTCCTACAGAAATAATTGTGGATAAATGTAATGATTTAGCTCTAAGAATGCTCATTGACACAGTGGGTCTATTCAGAA